AAGAGATAGCGAGTAAATGTTTACACGAAAAGAAATCGCGAATGCTAGGATTTCCTGCCGTGGGCGTTGGTTTGCGTGTGTCTGTGTGTGTGTGCCTTTGTCTGTCAGGTAGATCTGTATACTGCGTGATGGGTTCTAAGTTTACACCGGTAGCGGCTGTGCCGGCGCGATGGAGGTTGCAGACATTTGGGGCAGCTGTTTCAGCGGACGCCAACTGCTGTCTAAGGTGGCAAAGCTGTGTCGTCCCGGTTTCGGAAGCAGGTCTCGTCCACAGACCACATCATCAGTCATCTTCATGGCTGGTCCCCCGAGTAGAGGGCTGCGTGGATAGGAGATACCGTGATAGTCGCTGTTGGCGTGCCGCCGGAACTCGGAATGCCCATCGCTGCTGCCGCCGCTCAGTTGGAGGTGACTGGGTGTGAGCACTTTTGGTGCGGTAGGCGCCAAGTAGTCCGCCGGAAACTTGACGATCGGACCGCGCGGCAACGATTCAGACGGTTTCTGGGGCATCGGTTCTAGTCAGAGAGAGATAAAGGTGGCATGAACTCGGAGGTTGGCTTTAACACAAAGCATTTTGGCCTGATGTATCGTAGGCTTGCTATCTATTGAAATATTAAACGGAATACTGAATGGAGGTCTGGACTCAAAAATGTGCTTCAGTGGGGTCATAGTATTAAATAGCTTTCAGCCAAATTACAAGATATCTCTGTCAACTCAGGATGTCGTCTTTTGCACGCCTTTCTTTTCGCCCAGCTGAAATAAAAACGCACCTGCTTATGCTCCAAGACGCCGATAAATAGGCAAAACGTTAATTAACATACTTCTCTAACAGATTTGATTACCGTAGATTTGCTATTTATCAAACAAACTTCTGAATTGAGGTTTAGATTCAAATATTTGCCTCCATGAGGTCATATTGCTACGTATCTTGCAACATAATTACAAGAGATTTCTGTCAACCCTCAAGAGGTCGGCTTTTACATGCTTTCCTTTTAAATCATCTGCAAAAACTACGCACCTGCTTATGCTTCACTTGGCCAGAAGATAGGCAAAATGTTAGGAACATTGCCACTGCAAATGAACTTACACCAATAAGAATTAAAATACATGTACTATTCGGCGAAATGTTGACGGAGATTCTGAAATGCTTTTGCCTTCAGATATTTGGTTGAATCAAATCAGATTCTAGCGCACGCACCAAGGCGTTCCGATCTCACTTGCGTGATAATATGATAGAATCCGCCCCAATCCTCCTTGCCTCACCCATGAACCAGACCGCTGTCCGAATCTGCTACTCATCGGATGCTCGGACATGATTCACAGCTGTCAACACACGCCAGAGATCACTGCTGCCTGAACACCTCATCCGGTGTCTTCCGTCTTATTATACAACACAAAACCTCACATCATAATTGTTATGGAGGCGGGAGCCACCGTGCATTCCCGGCAGTCGGCGAAAAGGGCCGCCCGGAGTACGTCACGCCCTCATTCCAGACGCCCACGCCTGCGAATAC